ATTCACCTAAAGCAGCGGGGCGAAACCCATGGGTCGCCAGAATCCCCGAGGGAATCTGGCGACCTATGGGTTTCCCATAGCTGGGGAATCTGGCGACATATGGGTTTCCCATAATTCGGTTGGGAGAATTCCGCCAGAATCCCCAAGGAAATCTGGCGACCTGTGGGTTTCCCATAATTCGGCTGCGAGAATTATGGGACATGTTTGTCGCTTCGCGTGCCCCACCAGCGCATCCACAACCGATGCCCAGGCGAAGTGTCACGATAAGAGAAGTATGTAAGCATATAGAGAAACAGAAATTCACAAACACATCTAGATACCTTGTCGTCGTGTAGCGTCTTGGGGCGTGCTTGGCCCACTCAAACATGATTCGCAGGGGAGCTATTGTCAGTCTGAAGAGGAGGAAAAAGGGCAAGCAGAAGAGCCATAAACGTCTTGAATGCCTCTCGGAGTCTCATCGGGAGTTTTTTTGGAGGCTTCTTGGGGCGTCTTGGGGACTTCTTGGCTGGCCCAGGGAGGTCTTTGAGCGTCTGGGGTGCCGCAGGGATCCTCTTGAGGCCTCTTGGGGATCTCTTGTGAGCCGTTTGGAAGCGTCTTGGACGCCTCTTGGGGCCGTCTGGGCGCCTCATTTGGCCCTCTTGGGACACATGTCGGAGCCTTGGGAACGCTCTTGGGACAATTGTGGATGACACCAATGAAACACGGGGGGTTCTCTGATGAGCCTTGCCCGTCGGGAGCCCCTAAAGTCGCCTCTTGGAACGCTTTTGGGGCGCTCATGGAGCGCTCTTGGGCACTCTTGGGGTCGTCTTGGGGCTCTCTTGGGCCCCTCACGGGGCCCTCTTGCGTTATGTGGGAATCATCTTGCAACCTCGGAAGGCCATCGGAAGCGAAAGGGCGGGAAACCCAAACACATTGATTTCCCTCGGTTGTTGAAGGATTTAATTTCTTCGGGGCCTCAATGGGGAGCTCTTTTGGCCACTTGGAGCCGTCTTGCAGTGGTCTTTGGGCTTCGTGGGGCATCTTAGGGGCCATCTCGAGGCATCTTGCCCTTTCTTGAGCCATCCTCGAGGCCATCTTGGGCTCTCTGAGGCCCTCTTGGAGCCAACTTGGGCCATCTTAGACGCTCCGACCGCTCGCGGAACGCCCCGTTCAGGTCCAGGGGAAGGGGTAAGGGGAGGGATACCCCCCACCCCCGAAGGGGAAGAAGGGGGCGGAAGAGGAAGCACCCTAGACCACCTACGCCCAGAGGGCTGGTGGGACTCATAGGTTGCCAGAATATCCAAGGGAATCTGGCGACCCTTGGGTTTCCCATAAGTCGACTGTGTGAATTATGGGAACCCAAAGGTCGCAAGCATCCCCCAGGGAATCTGGCGACCTATGGGTTTCCCATAATTCGGCTCAGAGAATTATGGGGAAACCCATGGGTCGCCAGAATCCCAGAATCCTCTAGGGACGCTGGCGACGTATGGGTTTCCCATAATTCGGCTGGGGGAACTATGGGAAACCCATGGGTCGCCAGAATCCCTTAGGAAATGTGGCGACCTATGGGTTTCCCATAGTGCGGCTGGGAGTATTATGGGAAGCCCATAGGTCGCAATAATCCCCTGGGAATTCTTGCGACCTATGGGTTTCCCATAATTCGGCTGGGAGAATTCTGGGAAACCCATGTCGCCAGAATCCCCTTGGGGATCTGGCGGCCTATAGGTTTCCCATAATTCGTCTGGGAGGATCCGGGGGAACCAGTAGGTCGCCAGAATCCTCAAAGGGAAGCTGGCGACCTGTGGGTTTCCCATAATTCGGCTGGGGGAACTATGAGAAACCCATCGTTTGCCAAAATCCCCTAGGACATCCGGCGACCTATGGGTATACCATAATTCGGCTATGAGACTTAAGGGCAACCACTAGGTCGCCAGATTCCCCGGGGAATCTGGCGACCTGCGTGTTTCCCATAATTCGGCTGCGAGAATTCTGTAAACTCATAGGTCGCCAGAATCCCATGGGAAATCTGGCGACCTCTGGGTTTCCCCAAATTCAGCTGGGAGAGTCATGGGGAACCCATGTCGCCAGAATCCCCTGGGGAATCTGGCGACCTACGGGTTTCCAATAATTCAGCTGGGAGAACTGTGGGAATCCAATCCGTTGTCAGAATCCCCGAGGGAATATTGCGACCTATGGGTGTCCCCTAATTCGGCAGGGAGAATTATAGAAAACCCATCCTTTGCCAGAATACTATAGGGAGTCTGGCGACCTATGGGTTTCCCAAAATTTGGCTGGGGGAATGATGGGAAACGCATAAGTCGCCCAAATCTCCTAGAACATCTGTCCACCTTGGGTTTCACGTAAACCGGCTGGGAGAATTATGTGAATCCCATAGGTCGCCAGAATCCCCGAGGGAATCTGGCGATCTATGGGTTTCCCATAGTTCGACTGTGAAAATTATGGGAAACCCGACCTATGGGTTTCCCATAAGTCGACAGTGAAAATTATGGGAAACCCGACCTATGGGTTTCCCATAATTCGGCTGGGGGAATTATGGGAAACCCATAGGTCGCCAGAATCCCCTGGGGAATCTCGCGACCGATGGGTTTCCAATAAGTCGGCTGGGGGAGTTATGGGAAACCCATAGGTCGCCAGAATCCCATGGGGAATTTTGCCGACCTATGTGTGTTCCCATAATTCGGCTGGGAGAGTTATAGGGAACCGATAGATCGCCAGAATCCCGCAGGGAATTTGGCAACCTATGGGTTTCCCATAACTCGGCGGGGGAATTCTGGGAAACCCATAGGTCGCCAGAATCCCCTAGGGAATAGGCTCCATGAGGCCCCCGATTCACAATTGATCTCAAGGCTTCCAAAGGCCTCACAAACAAACGCCGCCAGGCCCCGAGAAACACTACAAACGCCCCGGACTCACGATCCAGGTCAGGGGTGTGCTGGCATGGGCGAGGCGGCGGGGTGCGAACCTGGGCTCTGGGGCCGTCCGTGTAACTCCCTGTGGGGTACGATCCGTGTGAGGAGACAGTCGACATACGCGGGGGGACGTGACGTTACGCGAATCCTCTGACTGTGGCCGCACGTGAACTACATCCCTCTGGGACACGATCCGTGTGATGCGTGTGCCGAGACGGGCGGACCGACGCCGTGCGAACTTTGTGCCTGGACCCGCAAGTGGAGCTCCTTGGGGGACGCTATGTGAACCCTGCCTTCCTACGGGGCCGTAGGATGATCGCTTGCACTTTTTCTCAGCTTTCCCACAGCCCTCTTCTCCTCCTCCCCTCCTCCCCCTCCTCCTCCTCCTTTTCCTCCTCCTCCTCCTCCTCCTCCTCTTGTTCCTCCTCCTCCTCCTCCTCCTCCTCTTGTTCCTCCTCCTCCTCCTCTTCCTTCTCCTCCTCTTCCTGCTCCTCCTCCTCCTCCTCCTCCTCTTGTTACTGCTCCTCCTCCTGCTCCTCCTGCTCCTCCTGCTCCTGCTCCTGCTCTTGCTCCTCCTCCTCCTCCTCCCCGTTCTCCTCCTTCTCCTCCTCCTCCTTGTCCTCCTCCTTCACCTCATCCTTTGCTTCGCTCGTACGGCTTGCAATACTTCCGCAATGATGTTTTCGCCCATCCGTGGCCGCATCCTGATCCAAGATTGGCGCAACCACCCCAGCTCTGACCACAGTCTCCAATACGAGCGGTACTGTCGCCTCAGAGACGGCCGCAGCCCTCATTGCAGATGACGCTGCCGGTCGCGCACAAGCCCCATTCCCGCATGGGATTGGCGCTCTCGCCCGAGCGCTGGTCACACCTCTGTCTGGGAGTCATGCTGCCGTCTGCGCGCTGGCCAAATCCTTCATGGAAGGCGGCACTCATTTCGCAGCGCCAGCCACGCCCCTCATTGATGCCGCTCCACTCGCACGGTTCCCACAGCCGTCATGGGAGAATGGTGCTCCGCCCAAGCGCCAGCCACATCCATTTCCAAGATTTGTGCTACCGCCCCAGCGCCGGCCGCATCCGTGTGTGTGCGCCACCTCCAGCGCGAGACAACTGACGACCGCAGCTGCCGTCCCTTCGTGCTGGGCGGGTGCCGAACCTGGCGTTCGGTTTGGACGGAACGTGTCGGGTCTGTTGCCAATCGGGGCTGCGCCAGGTGAGCCCCCCCAACGTCAGGTTCGGGAATGGGTCGTAGCAGCACTGCGGCTACATCAATCTGCTAACCGCAAGGATCAATATTAGAAGGCGAAGCGCAGCGAGCCTTGAAATCTCGTATATATGCGGAGAGAAGAGAGACACATAGAGAGAGAGAGAGAGAGAGAGAGAGAGAAAAAAAGAGAGAGGGAGAGAGCAAGAGAGGGTGAGAGATAGAGAGAGAGAGAGATAGAGAGATAGAGAGAGAGACAAAACAAACTGACCGCTGGGGGAGGAGGAGACCACAATGAATCACGGTCATGGGGACGCCATCAAGCTGCCCGACGGCGCCCCGTGCTGGAGTAAACGGGTCACGGCGAGACAACACCAAGGCCCGACTCTGAAGGAGAAGGGGAGGGAGGGAGAGAGTGCTCGGGGGAGATGCGCCTCCTTGTCCTCTTCCTCCTCCTTCTCCTCGTCCTCCTCCTTCCCCTTCCTGTGCCGTTGCCGCCGCTCCTCTTCCCCATCCTCCAACCCCCCCCCTTCCCCTTGCAGAAACGGGCGATGGGAGAGGCAGAGGAGAACGGGAGGGGAGGGGGTGGGAGAGAACGAGGAGGAGGGGGAGAAGGAGAACGATGAAGAGGCGGGAGGGGATGTGGAGGAGGACTGGGGAGCAGGAGGGCGAGGATGCGGGGAAGCTGACCAAGAGGAGGAGCACCCGCGATTGTACGCACCGCTGAGGGGGCGCGGCTTCACGGGCGGCGCGGGTGAGGAGGCCCCTCCTCCCTCCCTCCTCCCTCCCTCCCTCCCTCCCTCCCTCCCTCCTTCCTTCCTTCCCTCCCTCCTTCCTTCCTTCCTTCCCCCCCCCAGCGGCGAAGCGTCGTCGGGCGGGGGGCCGGCCTTGGCGGCGTCTGGTTGCCACCCCCGCGCCCGCCGGGCATCGTCGGAAGCCCCGATGCGCAGCAGCACGAGGCCGGTGGCGCCGCCTCTGGTCCCCGCTGCCGCTGCTGCCACGGCCCCCCCCCCCCCCTCCCGTCGTGAGAAGACTCGCGGCGTCGGAGGCCTCTGCCCATTTTCGGCCTCTGGGGGGTCGCTGGGGTGCTGCATGCGAGGGCGGCCCTGGGGCAAGAGTCACGTCCGGTGCGCGGCTTCAGGGGCCGTGGGGGGGGCCCAGCCCGAGCGCGCACGCCAGTGCTGGGGGGACCCCATGGGGCCCCCCCTCATGAAGGCCCGCACAACAGGTCACTCCAGCGAAGGGTCGCTTTGACGCGCAGCCGACGGCCTTCCCTGAGCCCCAAGGCCGCTAGAAGAAAACTCGGGACGAGAAGCCAGTCTGGGGGAAGCGGTCCAGACCTCTAGGGGCCCACGCTGTGAGCAAAGTCGCGGCGGTCCTCGTGCGCCCCTGGCTGCTGCTGCTGCTGCTCCATCCACTCACCTCCTCCATCTTCCCTTCCTCGCTCCACCTCTTGTTTTCTCGTCCTCCTCCTCCTCGTCCTCGTTCTCCTCCCCCCTCCCTCACCCCATCTCCTCACTCCCCCTCTTTCCCTCGCTCCTCCTCACTCCTCACTCCTGCTCCTCCTGCGCCTCCTCCGCCTCCTCCTCCCCTGTCTCCTGCCGCTCCTTCGGCCCCAAATCTGCACATTGGCAAGCGCACCTCCAAGACGCCGACCACGTCACCCGGAGGAAGTGGCGGAGCCCGGCTGGTACCTCCGATAGCACCCCCCGTGTGGTCAACTCCAGCGACACTTTCGATCGTTCTTGGGCCGGCCAGCCTCTGACTGATGATGGTGTCGCCCACCCCCTCCACGGGCACGAGGCCGCTTCGCTGGAGAACCGCTGGCGGACCGCTTCGCCAGCGGACCGCTTCGCGCGCGGACGGCTTCGTCGTCGTCGTCGTCGCCCTGGTTGTTGCTCTCGTCGTCGTCGTCGTCGTCGTCGTCGTCGTCGTCGTCGTCTTCGTCGTTCTCGTCGGTGTCTTCGGCGAGGAAACGAACCCTCACAGACGGGACGGGCGGGCTTTCAAGCAAACGAGCGAGCGGACCCTGACGAGCGGGTCAGAGGGCGGGCGGACCCTGACGGGCGGGTCGGGCGGGAGATCAATGCGGGCGGGCGGGCTTTCAAGCACATGAGCGAGCGGACCCTAACGTTCGGAGCGGGCGCGCGGGCAGACCCTGAGGGGCGGGTCGGGACATGAAAGCGGGCGGAACCACGAGCGCGCGGAGGCTGACGGGCGGGTGGCAACGACGATCACGAATACGACAACGGCGACGAGGAGTGACAGCGTAGGCTGACAACGACCGCAGGCGACAAGTGACGGCAACGACTGACGGATAACGGCGAATGACGACGACGACGACCACTGCGACGAGTAGATACCGACGACGGTGAGCGACGGCGACGAGAGGCTACGAGAGGCTACGACGAGCGGCTACAACGACCAGCGTCGACCACGACGACGGGCCAAGCGGTCCGGGGCGAAGTGGTTTTTGCGGGCGAAGTGGTGCGCGGGCGAAGCGCCCCCCTCTCCCGCCCGACGGACCTCTGGCGGACTGTTTTTTTCAATCCGGGGTGGGCCCCGGAGCCCGTTGGGCCTCCGGGCCTCGTGCGGGGTGCTCTGGCAACCCAACACAGGGTTCGACCCTCCCCCATGGCCGCCCCCCAGGTCGGTCTGTTTTCAGGTTGCCCCGCGGGGCTCCGATTGAAGTAAATTATCCTGCCGAGGGGCCCAACCATATGCAGTTGTGAATGCCGCGATTGTGAGTATCATCTTCTGTGGAACTCCCTATACAACGACGAACTGTGTGAAGGGTGTGTCGTAACGGGTGGCGGGGACGCATGCGAGCACTGCCACTGAAGCCTTCGGTGGAGCTCCCTATGTGGCCACGAAGCGTGTGAGGGGCGTGCCGGAGTGCCGTAATGTTTGCGGGGGACGCATGCGAGAGACGCCACTGGGGCCTTCGGTGGAGCTCCCAATGGGGCCACGAAACTTGTGAAGGGTGTTGAGGGGTCTGTCGAAAGGGATGGCGGGGACGCATGCGAACGGTACTACTGGGATCTTCGGTGGAGCTCTCTATGGGGCCACGAAACGTGTGGGGACGCATGCGAACGGTGCCACTGGGACCTTCGGTGGAGCTTCCTACAGGGCCACGAAGCGTGTGAGGGATGTTGAAGGATGTGTGGGAAGGGGTGGCGGGGACGCATGCGAACAGTGCCACTGGGACCTTCGGGGGGGAGCTCCCTATGGGGCCACGAAGCGAACGGCGCCACTGGGACCTTAGAACGTGTGAGGGGTGTGCCGAAAGGGGTGGCGGGGACGCATGCGAACGGTACGACTGGGACCTTCGGTCGAGCTCCCCTTGGGGGCACAAAGCGTGTGAGGGGTGTGCCGAAACGGTTGACAAGCGGAGGGCACAGGTAGAGATGGGAGGTGGGAGGAGGGAGCGGGAGGAGGAGGAGGTGGGAGGGACGCGTGGCGCTGTCTCTTCAAAACGAGGACCCAACACCACAAGATGGTTGGAAAAAACGATCCCACGGGGCCCGTTTACCCCCGCGAGTCGTGCTTTGAAGGGCCCGCGGTCCTAAAGCGGCTTCCAGAAGCCGAAATAACGAGAAAAAACGGTACGGGGGGGAGGAACATTGACCCGGCATCGGCGATACATCGACGATACATCGGCGATAGGGCCCAAGGCCCTCGATGGGGAGCGGTGCCGGGGGGATGACTCTGGGGGGGACCTGGAATCGGCGACACATCGAGGATAAATCGGTGATAAGCCCTCGCTTCGGGGACCTACTGACCTGGGTCAATCCAGACCCGGGTCAGTCGGGCCTTGCAAGATCTTACAGGATCCTGCAGGATCAGAGCGCCCCTGGCTGTGCAAGATCCTGCAAGCTCCGGCGCTCTGGCTGACCCCCATCTCAAGGCCCCCGATCGCTAGTGAAGCCGCACGTTCCGGGGCCGGGGTGGGAGACCCAAGGCCTAGGCCCCGATCGGCGAGGGATGTGCACTTGGGGGCCACCGCCTCCCCCGTGGGCCAGCCCCCCTCCCCTGTCTGCGCGCCTGGGAGTGAAGGAGGGGCGCGGGCAAAATGCACTCGACGCGTGGATCCCCACGCGGGGCCAGGACAGCTCCCTGGACGTCCTCCGACATGACTACTCAGTGCGCGGCCCTGGTGGTCCCGATCCCTTCACCGGTGCGCGTTTCTCGCTTCGGATCCATGTTTGAAGGCCCCCGGGGCCCAGTAACGGACCTCAGGCGCTCAAATCAAGGAGCAACAATTATACGAGACGTACCCAATTTGCGGAAGCCAGCGTTCCAGCAGGACACCGTTTCCCCTGCGACGCAGGCTTGCGAGCGCAAGCGGGGGCGGCCCAAACAGGGGTGGGCAACTGAATTGCATGAACTTGTGAGCCCCCATTTTGAAACCGTGGAGTCTTTCATGGCAGCAGTGGCAGACCCGATACGGTGGAGAGCGTTCGTGTTCAATGTTCTAGAGAGTGCCGGTAGCACAGAAGAGAAACATATGGAATGAAGACTGCATTGCCTGTGCGTCCTGGCTGAGATACATGCATCCAATTGTCCATCATCGTCGTATTTCCCCTCCCCTCGTCCTCCCGGTGCGCATTTGGCGCGTCGTCGCTGTCGTGTCGTGCGTTTGGCGGCTCCTGTCTGCCAGCTAATGCGTTTGGCGTTGCTCACACGCTCGCCAATTGTCTTGCCCACGCGCGTTCTGCGTATGGTTGCCTCGTTGGTACCCAACCCCTTCTTTTACAGGCGGCAAGCGGTTGCATGAACGCTCCATACAAAAGAACACATCGCCTGATATGCATGATCTGCGCTGCTTCATCTCCGCCGTGCCTCCCAGGAGCCTGCGAAAGCAGCGACAGCTGCGCAGTTCGCAACCTCCCAGGGAGCCGCGAGGTCTCGGCTGGCTCCGCGTGGCTCCCGACTCCGCTGACCTCCCAGGAGCCCACGAAAATGGGACAGCTGCGCAGTTCGCAACCACCCAGGGAGCAGTGGCGACAGCTTCGCAGTTCGCAACCACCCAGGGAGCTGCGAGGTCCTGGGTACTCCCCTACTCCGCCGTGCCTTCCAGGAGCCCACGGAAATTGCGACAACTGCGCAGTTTGCAGCCACTCAGGGAGCTGTGAGGTCTCGTGTGCTCCTCGACTCCGCCGTGCCTCCCAGGAGCCCACAAAAGTTGCGACAGCCGCACAGTTCGCAGCCACCCAGGGAGCAGCGCAGCAGGAGGCAGGAGGAGGGTGGGGGAGGAGGGGGGGAGGAGGAGGAGCGGACGCAGGTGTGCGACTTCAGTGCTCTACTCTAAACGAGAACCCAACACAGGAGGGTTGGGAATGAAAAGCCAGATCGTGGGAGATCTGGATCCCCAGAAGCAAACAACAGCGAATGTGTAACAGCTGCACGGATGGTGTGCGGCTCATGTTTCAAATCTTGGCGGTCGCTGGGCACCTCCCTGAATTCTCAAACGCAACCTTGTCGCACTCCCCCTCCACCTGCTGCTCCTTCTCTTCCTCCGCATCCTGGGCTGCTTAGTCCAAACGGCTGTGGCGCCGCTTGTAACATGAGTGCTATTGGTGAAGAGATAGTCGCAGCGAGTCATTGCAGGAGCCACCAGCGCCCTTGCCGACCAGCCCACGCGCCCCTTAGGATGCATGGCCATCTTGCCTGCTTGCTTGTCGCGCTCCTGATGGCTCCAACGATGGAGTTTGGCTTCTCTCAAAACGGAGCTCCCGCTCGGAGGGTGGGCCCATCCCCCCCCGCCGCGGGCAAGGGCCGCCTCTCTTTCACTAGGGGCGCCTAACTTCGCGCTCTTGCGCTGCGCGAGAGCGCGAGTAACTTTGCGCTCTCGCGCCGCCCCCCCAGGGGAGAAGAGGAGGACGAGGAGGAATCGGAGCCGAACTGCGAAGCGCGAACAACTTCGCGCCCTCGCGCCGCCCCCCAAGGGGAGAAGAGGAGGACGAGGTGGAA